ATATAGGTCAGGAGTGGAGTGAAAAATTAGGTAGGATCTCAGCTCCTGGATAGCCTGGGCTCCAGAGGCAAGCAAGCAAGATAGCAAGGAAATGGCCTTCATTCACTAACTCCCAAGCAACAGCTATTGCCTTATAATCTAGAAACCCAAGAATAATACACTTATTTAAAAAATGGAATGAAATCTCAGTTCTACCTTTGTGGCAAGAAAAGCCTGGTTACTTTAAGTAAATTACAACAGTTCACAGACTTTGCTCTCCCAGATCATGTGAGGAGCAGTAGAATCTGTTTAACCGGGTTGGACTTAAGCTATACTGAACAATTATGAATGCCCCACAGAGGTTTAGAATCACCTCAGACAGAGGCTGGTATGGTGAAAACCTTGCGGTTTTGAAGCCGGGCAGTGTAAACTCCCTGCTTGGTGCCGAACTTTCTGCAAATGCAGTCTCAGCTCAGATCAGTGGTTCTCACTTCGAGCTAGAGCAGTGTCTACAGGCTCTGAGGTTTCTCAGGTGACCCCAAGGGCAACAAGACTGGAAAAGTCCTGTATTTCATTTCCCACTGTGGCCTAAGAGTAGCCACTTGCAGTGACACAATCTACTTTTATTTCATGTACACAGTTGTTTACTTAACTATTAAGTTATTCACCCAGGGAAGTTACTTCAAGATAGAAAAACAAGTTTCTATTGTTATACAATTGTTAAACAATCAAGCAAACAAAACAAAAACTCTTCAAGCACATTAACACCCCTCCCCCATAAATCATATAAGTCATATAAGATACACGAAATCCTGTAGGCAAATGTTGAACATTATATCTGGGAGTAAAAGACAATAAATCTCCAAGTGATTATAATACAGAATTTCAAACAAGCTTTAAAGCAGATTCACACAGGCAGGAAATTGGAGCAGACCTACAAGGAAAGTCAAGCAGAGGACAGGCCTTTCTGTATAGAGCTCATTTGGGCTATCTTTCTCATTGCTGTGATAAAATAGCTAACAAAAGCAACCTAAGGACGAGCTGGTTGTGGCTCACAAAGTGAAGGCACAGCTCATCGTGGGGAAGACAGGGTGGCAAGTGGACACATTTGGGACACAGGACACAGAGAGGCGAGTGGTGGTGCTGAGCTCTCTTTCTCCTTTTCTTTCAGCTCATGATCTCAGACCAAGACATGGTGCCATCCATATTTCGGGCAGGTCTTTACACCTCGGGGAAGCCAATCTATAATACCCAGACACAGGTGCCTACACATGTGTCTTCTAACTGTACATCTGTTGACAGTATCTACCGCCAGAGAGGCAGTATCAGAAACATGGGCAAGAGAAAGCCCTGATAGCAGTGGTCTAACTCAGGAGGACGTGGAGTATTAGACCTTGGTGACAAGTGGGGTGAACGGCATGAAGCTGTGAAGGAAGGCCTTACTCAGAAAACAAAAACAGTCACGGACTACATGAGACAGCAAAGTGTCGAGGAACTTGGGGTTTAAGAAATAGAGGACCATCTCTATCTTCCCCAGGATGCTTAAGAACAGTTGTCAGCGTAGTCTTAGACTTAAGGAAGTTTCATGACATGTAAGCATTATTATACTCATTATTAATTCACATAGGAAAGATCAGAACTGAGCATTAGGGGACCACGGACTGTGAAATCAATGGACAGGGCATCAGGATGGAATAGAAAGGCACTGTCTTCCACATATATAACATGGAAAGGCCACCAGGGCACCAGGATGGAATCCACAGGCACTGTCTTCCACATATATAATATGGAAAGGCCACCAGGGCATCGGGATGGAATCCACAGGAATCATGCTCCTGGTATAATACTAGTATTGCTGAGAGGATTATCAGATCTGGTGTATTTATACATGTTTCATGCTCTTCTCAAATTACTGTTTACATAGTTCTTTTGCACAGTGCTTGTACGCTATGGGAAAAGCAGTATATCTTGACATTGGGTGACTATATTTCATTTTTAAAATTTCTTAAAAGAATGATTTATTTACTTTTATTTTACATGCATTGGTGTTTTGTCTGTCTGTCTGTCCTGATGAGGGTGTTGGATCCCACGGAGCTGGAGTTACAGACAGTTGTGAGCCGTCATGTAGATGTTGGAAATTGAACCTCTGGAAGAGCAGCCTGTGCTCTTAACCACTGAGCAGTCTCTCTAGTCCCTATATTTCATTTTTCACATGCAGTTTTAGTGACTATGAAACCACTAAATTTGGTGAGCATACATAAGGTGAACGGAATTGTTGCTCCCATAACATTTACACTCTGCCATGATGTCTATGCATGTAACACCATAATGTCTATGCACGTAACACTACGTAACCAAATGGAATCAAAGTTGCCAATTGATTTCAACACAGCAAAATTTTCCTGGGTTATCTGAGTGGAAGGAGAAGTGTCGAAGAAAGGCAGAGGATTGTTCAGAGTGGGAAGTTCCAGAAGAGGCAGGAAAGTTAGGATTATGAGTAAGAATCAGCCCACAGTTACTGGCTTTGAAGATGGAGGAAGGGCTCTGAGCCAAAGCACAGGAGTAACTTCTAGCAGCTAGGCAGAGCACGGGAGTAACTTCCAGCAGCTAGGCACAGCTGATAACACTGCAAGAAAACAACCACGAGGAACGGGATCCTCACGAGGAACGGGATCCTGCTGACAACCCACATTCTGTGTGAAGGAAAGCTCTGACCTAGGAAAGTCTAAGAGAATAAATATGTGTTTTATTAAACCACTACATTTGTAGCAATTTGTTGCAGCAGCAATGGAAAACAAATTGGCAAAAAATGTACCACCTTTATTTTTTTAATCAAAGCTTATCCGCTGTTGGCTGTTTCTTCTGCTGGATTGACAGGGTATCTCATTTTTGGCATTATTGAGGCCCTTGCTTGACATGGTCCCCTCTTCCTCTCACAGCAGTGGTATGATATTAAGGCTCTTTAAACAAATTAAACAAGAGTTTAAGAAATATAAAATTTCTTATTATCGGCACAAATAATTGTTTCTCTTCAAAAGACATTTTGCTTCCTGTCTTAGTTACTGTTCTGTTGCTGTGAAGAGACCACGACTAAGGCAACTCTTAAAGAGGAAAGGTTGCTTACGGTTTCAGAGGTTTAGTCCATTGTCAGCATGGCAGGAAGCCTGGCTGCTGCTTCCCTGGCACTGGAGCAGTAGCTCAGAGCGCTGGTCCTGATCCACAGGCCTCAGGAAGACAGAGACCTTTGAAACCTCAAAGACCACCCTCAGTGATATACCTCCCCCAGCAATGCCACACCTACTCCAGCAAGGCCACGCCTCCTAATCCTTCTCAAACAGTGCCACTCCCTGGTGACTAAGCATTCAAATATATGAGCCTATGGGGGCCATTCTTATTCAAACCCTCACTTTCCTTCCTTTGCCCAGTCTTTTCCAGGCTGGTTACTGCTAGTCTTGTGCTACCTTTGTGTGCTCCAAGGTGGTAACTACACATGGGTTTCCTCAGGCTGTTCTGGGTCTGAATTTGAAAGCCTGGACCTAAGGGTGCATATTCCACTTCCATGAGGGCAACAGACACCTGTTTTGGATTGTCTACCCCACACAGAAAAAATTGGTTAATTAGTCCGTTTTGTTTCAAAGTGTTGCTGATTGAATGCCAGGTCTAGCCCATGCAAAGGACACTATGTCAGCCTCTCAGAGGTTTATGTATCTGTTTATTAACTATTTAATTTTTTATTCTAGTAAACCTCTGGGAAAGTGGACTTGTAGAGATTTTTCTTTCAAAAACAGAGATGAAGCAGAACTTGTTTGTGACAATGGAAATAACCTACAAGGAACACAGAAACCTGAACGGGCAATGCGATACAGATGAATGCCTTTGAAGGTCAGAGCCAGTGATCTGGTGTGGGTTTATTGAGAAGGCCAATGGCTGCTAGCTTTCATCTGTTCTCTCCGCAGATTTGTCAGTGTAGAACTACCGCCCCCAACCCGCCCCCCAATGCTTCTTGTTTGAAATGAGACAGCAGGTACGTCCTTTGGTTTAAACGTAGTCAATAGAGAGTTTAATTTGGCAGTTAAAAATAGCTGGTCCTTCAATCCATACTTATGGCCAGGATTTCTTGACTTTCTGATTCATCCTCCTTCCTACTGTTTCTGGGTTTCACTCATCCTAATTTTAACACACACATGTGCAAGATTGTTTCTTACCCTACCATTCATTCACTAGGTGGACTGTCCTGCACTTTGCCCTCTTTTAAAGCTATTCCCAAATAAAAGGATACTGTTTTCAGGGGGAAAGAATTAAGAGTACATTAAAATACAGTCCTGTCTACTACTCATCAATTAGCTTTTTAGGTGACTGGAAATGGAAAAAAATCTAACGCCAAAATAATTGACAAGAGACACAAAACTTATTTGTGTTTACTGTTTCTGGTTAAGTCTAGTCTATTAAGTCAGAAGTAGGGCATCAAGGCAGTTATTACTTCAAAACAGCTCAGAGGGCTGATGGAAACCTATTTTTTTTTTGTTTAAATGTATATTGTTAGAACGAACATTAATAAGCATCGGCAAATCCAATCACTCATGTTCTGCAAGCAACATTTCTACTTCCGTTATGGCTTTTAAAGGCTGAGCTACCAGGCTTTCTTCTGCTACCTAGATGTGAGGACTTCCTCAAGGCAGTGCTTGTTCGCAGTGTTTTCTCAACCACACAATGTGTATGGTAGCCACCGTTTGCCCTGGGGAGTCAAACAGTCACTTGGCGTCAAGTGTGAAACGGTAAGCCCGAAGGCCAGAAGAGCGTTAAGGCCCGGGACACAGGCGTTCCGACGCACTGGGGCGGCCCTAGAATTTCACGCATCTGGGCGCCTTCACCACGTGACTCCCCTCGGGTCCCAGGAAACCTATCACACTGCCACGCTTTCCTCCCTGCCTATAGGCGAGCCATTCCCGCACTGACCAATGGGCTCCTTTCTTTCAGTAACGGGGCGGGACCTTACGGCGCGGCTGAGGCCCGCCCCTCCCTTACGTGCCGCGCGTGCGTGGCGAGGACGGCTTTCTTCAGCGCGTGGCGCCCCCCGGCGGCGGCGCTCCCTCAATGCGACGGCCTGGTTAACTCCAGCCATGGAGCCGCCGCAGGAAGAGGCGCCAACGCTCGCGGAGTCCCTGCCTCGGCCTCCTGGGGCCTCGGGGTCGCCGACGCCGGACGAAGGGGAGCGGCCGGAGGGCAGCGCAGCGCTGGTGGCGGCTCCCGCGGGCGCCGACGGGGACAGCGCCGGCGCGGACGGGCTGTGGGGACTGCCGGTGGAGCACGCCGAGCGCAGGCCCGAGTGCAGCCGCTGCAGGTGAGCGCGGGGCCGGCGGCGGAGCTGCGGCGCCCTCTGCCGGCCAGGCGGACTCTGCCGTGCCTGCCGCAGCAAGAAGCCTTTTGTCCGGGCCATTATTATTTAGTTTGACTTTCTGTAAGATTTAGGTTTTTTGTTGTCTTGGGTTTTTTTGGTTTGTTTGGTTTGGTTTTTCAAGACAGGTTCCTCTTTGTAACAGAACCCTGACTGTACTTGAACTCGCCTTGTAGACCAGGGTGGCCTCGAAGTCACGGAGATCTGCCTGCCTCTGCCTCCCGAGTGCTGGGTTTAAAGCCATGCACCACTAAGCACCGCAAGAGTTAGTTGTTTACTCAAGAAATTTAAGAGTCCTTAATACTAGGGGCTGTCGAGGCGTAATGACATTAATACTTAGCGATGCTTAAGTGGGCTCACCGTCAGAAAATGAATCAGAGGAGAGGAACAAAGCGGCTGCCTGCGTTGAGAATTTTGAATTTATTTTAGCAGTTGTTATCCGAGCACTTGGGAAGTAGAGGCAGAAAGGTTCGAAGTTCAAGATCATTCTCAGCTGTCTAACAAGTTGGAGATTAGCCTGGGCTGTATGAAACTGTCTGAATTCTTTTTGTTAACTCGATTTCTGTGTTTCTGCTATCTGTTGGCAGTTCTAGGAACTAGAAATAATACAGGGTTGAAAAAATAAGTCGTGGTCTCATGCTAGCTGGGTACTTACAGGCGCATGCAGAGTTTCTTGGATGGACCATGATAACCAGTGTTGACTGTTCACAATGTACTTGGTTATTCTTTTTGGGGGACACCGGTGTGCTTCAGCTGTGTCTTATTTAATCTCAGAATTTTAGAAACACTACTCCTTGCCTCTTGGGCTGATGTCCTGGGTTACTGGAGGTTTTCAGCTGTGGTGCCCTTCTTTTTAATTAGCAGATACTGATCAGCCTTCTCTTATTTTGGTACAGGAGGTCTTCAGCTTAGAAGGGGAACATTTATTTTGGCTCAGGGTTTCAAGAGTTTGCAGCCCGTAGCTGGGTTGGTTGTATTGGGTCTGCAGTGCTGCATAGGTCATTGTGCACAGAATAGAGGGGGCCTGCAGAAAAGGACCAAATGCCCAGTGTCCCTTACCAGTGACCTAACTTCCTTCCACTCGGCCCCACCTCTTCCAGAATTGCCATAAGGTGACATATGGACACTTGGAAGGTGTGTGTGTGTGAACATATTTCAGATCCCAACTAAAGCTTGCTTCTAGTCCCCTGCCTTATAACCACTCTGCAGTTAACCCTCAGATCATACAGTTTGCCTGAGATGGCTTTCACTGTAGCAAACAATAACCTTCATGAGATAAAACCCAGTGGGTCTTAGTCATGTTAACTGTAGTAGATCAGTGGGCAGCATTCTGAATACACTCTTCCACACACTCTGTAGTTCCCTTTGGATGTAGATGACTTTTTTGGCCCAGTTTCCTTTCCTTTCCTTATCCTTCTCAAACACAACCAGGAATGCTAAGCATGCAGGATTGTTCTGTGTGTGTGTGTGGGGGGGAGGTAAAGAATTTTAAGCACAGTTGTAAAAAGCCATTGGAAGCATAGACTGTGAGGTTTTCAAAAAAATCACACAATGTGTAATGGAAATGTCCTTGTGACAAGAATAAATCAAACTTTTTGTTTCATGCGTTAATCACAGATAGGCAAGTGAGCCTCTGCTTGCTCAGCCAGTGGTAAAGGATGATAAAAGATTACTTTATCATTTACTATCAAGCAAAATCCATGCACAAATATCACAACACAAAATGAGGAATCTGAACCGAGTCACCAGCCACCAAAGCCATTGCTTGCTCAACCCTTTTCCGAATTATACTATGTTTAAATTTGTTGGGAATAAACCACCTGGCATTAGGTTGCTGAAGTCAATCTAAAGCAGTTGTCATCTTCACCTCTTTGCAGTTTGCTTTCCTGCCTGCCTGATACTGCAGAGACCCCTTCACTGATTCCAAGAGAACTGATTCCAAGTTCTCTTCTCCGTCGAACTCTAACACACTTCCCACGGTTGATCTTACCCACTTTCCTGGTAGATTGCCATATGTTCTCTACCTTGGGCCTTTCTCTTGAGCACCAGACCCACGACTTGCTTATTACTTACTGAGCGCTCTGCTAATCAGAGACAATACGGTGACATACAGATAGAGATAATGAACCAACAGCAAGTGAACTACAGACTGGGGGTGGACAGTGATGGAAAGAACTTGGGATGGTGGGCTGAAAAGCGAGTTGAAATGGTGTCAGGACAGCTCCCTTGGGTGAGGTGACAGGGTAGGCGCATTCACTGCTTGAGCACTCGGGATGCTTTCTCTTGCACATTTTGACCTTCTTCTGTACAGGCTGGGTTGTACGAACTCAGGCTGGATCTCGATTGTAGGATATCTTATTTCCTAGATGCACCCACCATTGTGTGGCTTTACAGTGTTTGGCTCGGTGCTCTCTTGGGAGGCTGATCAGCAGCTGTGAGCTGCCGTTCTGTAAATCCTGCCATCCCCGCTAGTACTCCTCATTGTTCTGATGCTAAATTTTGTCACCTGTTCCTTGTATCCAGTGCGCTTCAGCTTAATGAGTTTTCCACTTCCATCCCCTCCCTCCCTTCTTTTCAGCATGGTTTCAGTAGCAAAGCCAGTTCCCAACATGCTGTGTAGCCTAGAGTATCCTTGAACCCTGGTCCTTCTATCTTACCGGCACCCCACATTGGGTTGCTGGGGATTAACCAAGAGCTTCAGGAATGCAACATCTGAGATACATTTCCATTATCTTTTCTAAGTAGAAAATCTAAGAGACGATTGATAACAGTGTTTAAGGTAAAAATTTAGGTATTCCGAAAAGTTAAATTTTTGTACATATAAAAATCATATTTCCAAGGAAAATCATTAATTTATTCTTTCCTGTTTGCATAGAAAGTGTATTTATTCTTGAAAGTGGTTTGTTCATAATGAATGAGCAGAGCTGATTTGTAAATTGTTATGCAAGCTAATCATGTGTTCAAAGTTGAGCAGAGATGATAATGTGCCAAGAGGTATTTTCCCTCTTTATCTTAATTAAATCTTTAAAGACTGACCAGTTAAAAATGAAACACATTAGAACTCACCAAATGTTTGATTTACTTTCTCCATGAAAAATATGAATTACAATATTATGCTCAGATGTTTTTTCAAAGAACATTGAATCACATTAATTCCTTAAGTTAATTTGCCCCAAATTAATAATTTAAAGTATTAGTAATGTTTATGGAATTAGTAATCAAGTAATACTCTAGTTTAAAATTTGGTATTTTAAAGTTGTTAGGTTACAAAGTAATTGAGAAAGTGTGTATGTGTGTATACATATGCACACCTGTCAGGTATGGGTATGGAGGATCTAGGACAACTTTGATTCTCTCTTTCCATCTTTAAGTTTGTTCCTGGGATCAAACTCAGGTCTTTAGGCTTTTGCAGAAAGAGTGTTTAACTGCTGAGCCCTCACTGGCCCCAAAGTTCTTTTTGTATGGTTTTATCCCAACATACCCAGCTCATTATTGTCCACTTTAAGGTCAAGCTCTTATCTGCTGAATCGTTTTCCTGCCTATGACTAGATTCTCATTTCTCTTGCTGGCTCTTCCCTTTTCAGTTAGGAAGGCAGATTTGAAGGTAGTACTTGCGTTTAGTTACTTTTTTCCTCAGCTGAAGGTTTTTTCTTTCTGTCTTTCTTCTCTTTTCTTTTCCTTCCTTCCTTCCTTTCTTCCTATCTATCTATCTTTCTTTTTTTAGTTCTGTTGGAAGCCTAATGAAAATATGGGGAAGAAGGGAGCATTGAAATAAAGTGAGTAGAAGTTTCAGGACCATTCAAGAAAAACAATCCAGAAAAAACAAAACACATCAGTACAGCATTAAAGGATGAAAAAGGGTTCTTCCTCTTGAATGTTCAAAGAGTGAGCCCAAATGTGAAATCTCCATTTTTTCCCTTTTGTCTTCCCTCTGCCCTGCTACTGATCCATTTGCCCATCTGTTTTACGTCTGTTGTCTTTGTCTGAAGTCTGTCACTAACAAAGGGCTTTGCTCAATATTTATTGAATAGCACAGAAGACATGGAATGGGAAAGAAACGAGGAATGCTTCTTTACAGAAAATTTTTAGCAGAATCTTAAAAGGAAAGGAGTTATTTTACTAACCCCAAATGACCCAGAGTAGTACTTAAAACCACAGAGATGTTGTTAAATGATATCCACATGTTGCTTCCATATGGTAGATACTTGTTTTTATTAAAATTACTTTCAACCTGTTGACTGCTTTCAGCAAATGATTGCCACCTCCTCCCCATCTCTGTTCCTATCTCTCTCTGTATCTCTGTCTCTATTTCTCTCTTTCTCTCCCCACACAACACACACACACACACACACACACACACACACACACGCATACACATGCATGCACACACAAACAACTATTTTGAGTTTGAGGCATGGAAGAATGCATAGATTAAGACTAAGAATCAGAGTTTAGCATATGTAGTAAAACTGCATGTGAAGTCTAAGACAGAGTTAGGTTGGGTTATATTGTTTTTGAAAGGCAAGTTAAACGAGTGAATATATAGTAGGGAAATGGGTTAAGTGTATAGTTTTAAATGATCTCAGGGCACATTATTAACTTGGTTGCAAGGCTTGGCAAAAATTTAGTTCTGAAAGCAAGAAATATTTTCAGAAAAAGCTATTCCCACAAACAAAATAAAAAGGATAGGTATGTAATAAGCCCACTGGCCTTGCAAAAAGGACTAGAAAAATCAGCTCAATAGAAATATAACTGGTTTGTTTATATGGGTAAGTTTCTTGGCAGACTTATCTTTGTTTTTGAGTTGGGATAACATATGTAAGAATATATTCATTTTTTTTTTTTTTGGTTTTACGAGACAGGGTTTCTCTGTATTGTTTTGGAGGCTGTGGGTCCAGCCCAGCCTCAAACTCACAGAGATCCGCCTGCCTCTGCCTCCCGAGTGC